CCCCCCCCCCCCCCATTTTTGCAAGTTCAATCAACTCACAGTGTATTCAAATGCCAAAACCAGCACAGAGGAAGCAACAGGAGCACATGGCCAGACACCTCATCCTCCCACCTGCGGTTCAGTCAGCATGTTCAGCTCCAAAAGCGCCATAGTAGCACAAGAAGCTGGTGTAACAGCAGCCTGGCCAACGTCTTGGTGTAGAGCAGATCATTTACTTGACAGTCTGAATTGTTGCATTTACAACAGAAAAAAAGTCTCCTTCCAAAGCATCTCACTGGATGTACTAATGATCACAGGAAAGTGAGCTGTGATAGTGGCTGCTCTATGTAGAGAATCAAACATATTTTTCCCAGCTCCAGCACCCGAGACAAGAAGCCATGAGACACACAAGATCTGTCACCACCAGTCGCCTGGTGCTGCATCCACGGGTGAGGAACACCTTATGAAACCCACCTTTGAAAAGAAATTTATATGAGAATAAAATGCATGTCGTTACTGAACCAGTCAACATAACACTAATATGAAACATTTTCCATCTGAGATACACACTCTTACTATCTGATGGACAATGGGTATTGGAACTCATAACTAGTTTTCTTCCCTGCAGATATTCCTCACCACAAAGTAGCAAACTCAGGGTTATCTCAAGAACACAAAATGTAACTACTCATAATAAATAGCCTCTCCTTTCTCTCATCTTTGGAACAGCATTATACTGTTAGTATTTAAGATTTCCTAGCAAATAAAATTGCATAAAATTAAAAATAAAATAAATGAAAAATTTAAATTGATTCACATTCAACAGGAAAATATTGTCTGTTCAAGGAGCAAATATTTTCCTCAATATAGTGCGGCAAGACTGAATTGAAAGTTATTGTTTGCTGAAATCAAAGAACAGGTTTGACATTTTTAGTGTTGACAGATCACAGAAGTTTAAAGGGTCTGGGTTTTTTAGAAGCAACAAAAGTCACAATAGGTGTTGTAAATTCCTTTCAGATTTGAGTGCTTTTCCCAGGACCCAAATGTTGAGAATTAAATGTCATACCAATCTATGCAGTTAATCAGCGGTGCGCTGTGTTGCCAGTACTGTCCTGGAGGAGGTTATCAGCAGGCAAGGCGTGTCTGCAAGGTCCCAACATCTTGTCCTAAAGGATCACCATGACTACAGAACTAGTATCTATTGCTGTTCCTGAAATCATTCCTAACACATCAGACTAAAGTAATAAAAACACTTATATACAAATATCTGAAAATAAACACACAAGGTGGACACTTTGCCTCAAGAATCAGACCAAAAAAGACCTTGAACCTTGCTCTCTGTCTTTGTATCTAGCTAACAAACTACAGGTAATTGCCTAATCCCCATGATGAGCAACTTGTTACTGATGCTTTCTTTGCTTCAGCAGGTTGATTCAGCCCAGGCTAGGACTTCGGTTTAGGATAACGTGCTTGCTTCTATAGCCTGCCATTGCTTAAGATCCCAATTAGATTAGAATATTCTCCAACCCTGAGGATATCCTCAGTCATTAGTCAGAAATGAGATTCACTTTCTTCCCACCAGAACACTTATTGTCCCTGCCTGCTCTGGAGACACTAATTACTGCCTAGTAGTTAACTGGCAGCTCGTGACTGCTCACATTGTTAGCCAACCTCTGAAAAGATCACCAGCACATTGCTAAGCAGACTGCCCTTTTCTCCCTGCCTGGGCAATACTCAGGTCCTAGTGTGAAGCTCTCCTGTTGTTTTGTTTTATAATGTCATATTCCATAAAACATAAAATGTGCTAATCATACAACACAGCACGTTGCTGGCTGTCCTGTGAGATGAAACACAATGATAATCAAATCACTTTCCTTGGGTGACTGTATCCTGAGCTGCCTCTGCAGGCTACCACATCACTGGACAAGACAAAATATTAGCAGCAAAACTCACTTTTTTTTCAGGATTCATAGTGTCTGTGGAACTAATCAGAGTCTGTGTAAGATGTTGGCAGATATTTGGATAAAAACACTTTCATTCCAAGCACCGAAGTCCCTCAGCTCCACATTTGTTTGCATTTTCTAAGCATGGATGATCAGAACTTGACCTTTTCTGCCTTAGACCACTGACTGCACTGGGCTGCTCACATGAGAATGAAGTGTATGAACACTGGCACCTTCCATTTGAATTCTCGCTGTCCTCATCTTTGCCTTCACAACTGTTACCACACATGTGAATGGCAGTAGCTGGCTTGAATCCAGAGTGAAGTTTTTTGTCATAAGGATTATTTCTAACAACTTCAGATCTCTTTTGATACGCAAAAATATCATAACTCTCAAGATAGTTTGATAACTTTAATGAGGCTTTGCAATTTACATTCAATATGTATTAGTACACAAAATATAAGAAATCACATATACAGATAAACTTTTGTTTGTTTGTTTTACAAGTTAACCAGTATGAAATACACAAGCTACATTTATTCACATAACAAAATGGAACATTGATGAGCTTCATTCACCGATCAAATATCTCAACAATTTACAGACCAATATTTATTTGCAGCTGCTAAAACAACAAACTTCCATAAAGAACAAATAATTTATGTCAACAGATACACTGTCATCACATTCTATGAAATGAAAAAGCCAAACTGAGCACTGACTGAACGCTTCCAGATTTCAGCAGAACCCATGTGAAGCAACACTGTGGAGCTTATACCAGCATCAAATCTGTCCACGGTTTATCAGCTCTGTGACTGAGGAAATAAATCACATACAGAAATTCTTTAGGGTAAATTAAGCCATTTCATTTCATTACAGGGTTATTTAACCCATTTATTTTTCAACCTTTTTAAAACAAAAAGGAAATATAATTTAAAACAAAAAATTGAAATATTTAAACCTTTTGGTTTTTCATTTTCTGACTTAAACTATTTTCACATACAACATAGATCTGCAGTTTGTGAATAGCTTTGGTGCCTCAGACTGTCTTCTTTGTGAATCAATTTTTAACTACTTTCTCCAAATACACCAACAATTCACTAACTTCAATATTTGAAGTTAAGTAGGTAAAAATAACATACAGACATTTCTATCTTAAAACAATCCCTCTGCTACAAAGTCTCTGATACTCTCATTTTTGCTTCTGAACAAAGTCAAAAAAACCAAAGCTTCTTTTAGCAGCATTAAAGGCAAAGGGTCTTGGAAACTTTCTGGTACCTTCAGTTACACTGAATGCCCTCAACTTCTCAGGCACAGACCCTGCAAAAAAGGAGCGTGCAATTTGCTTTCACAAACACAACCACGCTCCCAGTGCAGCTCCCTGCTCATTTGGTCACACATAGTTCTCATGTGAGACGTGACCTTTTACAAATGAAGCAGATGCACCTCGTGAGCGCTTCAGTATATGCATTAGGGGAGCCCTTCAAGAAATTTCCTTCAGTTTGGGGGAAAAGAAAACAAAAAAAAAAAACCCCAAACAAACAAAAACCACTAAAAAACCCAAACAAAACCCAGTTTTACAGACTAACCACAGCTTTACGTTTGTTAATGTCAACAAAATTTATTGAAAGTACTAAAAACTCTGCTAGATCTAAAAATGTAACTGTAAGCAGACTGAGCTGATCTGCTTCTGTGTTCCCACAGGGAACCTCATGTTTTATCAGTGATTTGAAAGTAACGCTTACCCTGATGAAGTTTGCATCCCTCCCAAAAATTCATGGAACAGTAAATAATTAAGAGGTCAAGTCAATGAACAAAGCAAACTAGATCATTTAACAAGCTGGGCACAAGCAAAATGTCTTTTATACATCCACTTGGAAAATTCAATGCCTAGAAGCAAAGAATAACCTTATGGAAAGGGTGGTGGACTTTACCCTAAGAAGCAGTGACTCTACAAAGGATTTGGGGATATCACTGGTAGATACAATCTCTCCCTTTTAAAAAACACCTTGGAGATCACTTTCACACTTGCATGTGTTCTTAAGAAGCCTGCTAAGGTAAAGGATTTGGTGAGAAGCATTATAAGGACCCCTGTTCACTAACTGTAAGGGAGGAACACAGAATGACATAATTCTACTACCAGTTTTGGAAGGGATGTATCTAAAATGAACTAAAATGTTCAAATGCATCTTTGGAGTAGCAATATCAGACTGGTAAGCAACAAGAGCAAAACACAATTTAAAACAAATGCCAAACCACTGAACCTTGGAATTCATTTTAAGGTATTGCCCAGGTATGAGCATTGCCTCCATCATCTCTTCATATACCATGTTTAACTTTATTGCCCCGCAGAGTTGAGTGGCTGTAGGTTTATTTGTTTGGAACTTACTGGTGACTCAGATATTGCTGCAATCTTCAAAGAATTCTTGATAGAGCTGAGTTCCCACATGTGTAAGTTTATGATATGCATGCCACAACATCCCCTTGTGATCTTGTACAAGTTTTTAAGTACGGCTTTCCGGAGAAGAATGTACACCCAGGGATCTAAAATCTGATTCCACGTTGCCATTCGGAGAGCAAAAAGTATTGTCTCACAGGTCTCATTTGAATGATCCTCATTTATTCCAATTCTGGCCATTGCCACCTGAAAATGGAACATTTTAAAATTACACATCAGAAAAACAGACCAAGACAGCATGTGTATGAGTGAAATTGATTCAACATTATCTCTAATCTTCACACCTTCATAGCATCAATGCATCACGGTTGCAAAGTAAATATTTTCAAGCATGTAACATTTATCATCCTAGAAATCCTCCAGTGTTTTACATAGGAGGTACATGTATCTC